CCCACCCGAAGGCCTTACAATTAAGTTAAAGAACAAGTTTCCTCAAGATACGTCTTCGAGTCTTATGCCTCGACCCACCGAAGGCCTTACAATTAAGTAAACAACACAAGTTTCCTCAAAATACATCTTCCAGTCTTCACCCTCTACGACTATGGGCTCAAGAGTGCCGGGCTCCCCCTTGGGTGTCAACCCTCGGCCTGGAAGCGGAGTAAAATCAGAGAATTCCTAAACCCGCAAAGCCTTAGCACTGCACCCTAAACCCTAAACCCTAAACCCTAAACCCTAAACCCTAACCTCGAGTGAGCCCAAACAAGAAACGCAGTTCATGGGAAAACTGGACTGCAGCTTAAAGCTCCCCGAATCCATCAGCCTCAACACGATCCACTCAACCCAAAACTCCCCTAAACCCTAAACCCTAAACCCTAAACCCTGAACCCTACACCGTCCTGCAGTCCGGTGTTGCACCAGCCTGTAGGGCGCCTTCTGCGGCCTCGACGTCACCGTGGCGAGTGGCGTGGAAGAGCTGGGCATCCAGCTCGGTGATGCCTGGGTTTAGGGTTTAAGGTTTAGGGTCCTGGGACATGCCGCTGTCTATAGTGCCCAGCTCGTAGGGTTTTGGCTATTTGGGTCTTGGGGCTGGGCTTTGGGATAGTCTGCTTGAGTTCAGTGATACAGAAGGACACTGGGGGTTTGGAGTACCAAACGGGTTGAAGGAAGGGGTGCTGGAGCTCGGAGTCTAGGGCTCGTGGTGTCAGGATTGGGCGTTCAGCCCATTTTGCAACATTTGTTAAGGAACCCCCAAAAAAAAGACATGTCTATGCCTGAGTCGGGCTCTTCTTCAGGCTGAAGGATGTCAGCGATCCGGTTCTCAACTGCACGACCGAATCTTAATGCACTGCCCACAACCTCTAACAGGGCTTCAGGGGTTTCGGGTTCAGGGCGTTAGGGTTCTTGGGATTTGGGATTCTAGGGCTTTAAGAGTTTAGGGCTTGAGGACTTTAGGTGCTTAGGTTTTGAATATTCGGAGTTTTACAATTAACAGTTAGGGGCTTAGGGATTTTCGCTCAGAGAGTCAGAGTTCCCTCAGAACGTAAACATAAAGCTCAAGTTCACGTGAGACAAGGTAAGAAATGTCATGGACGAGCGCTACCAACCCTGCACCTCAATTTCTGCACCCTTAGCAAAACCCTAAACCCTAAACCCTAAACCCTAAACCCTAAAACGCTAGAGATCCACCTTGGTGCCTTGAAGAATTGATAAGACTACGGGGTTGGTGCGCCTCGTACTATACCAAAAAAACGCCCACAGACTCTGGGAGACTCTTACCATTTCTTCTGACCACATGGGAGCTTCCGAAAATAAGGGGGTACCTTATTTTGGGGTCCTCAGAAGAAGGATCCTACTATTTACGGTGCTATATTAGGGCCCCTATTTTTGGAAACCCCCACTTCTTTTCAACCTCAGAAGCTCCCCCCCCCCATCGACCTGGATGGAAAAATTCGTCGTGGGCATCCTGCGCCTCCTTGCTGCCCTTCCGGCTCCTTTTTCAAAGATTAGGGTTTAGGGTTGAAGCTTTAGG